TACAGTATCTGCTGTGAATGTCCAAATATTTTAGTAATGAATATGTTGTTTTCAAAATTAAAAAAGTTTGGAAGATAAGAAAGATACACAGACGACAATAAAAACTTGAAACACAGCCAGAATCCTGACAAGAGACTTGTTGGATTCCAGTCAATAAGAGTGTTATTTTGAATAACCCAGAATAAAACGGTTTTCATAAAATATGAACAGAGGAGAGATTGTCCATTGGTATCTTCTACAGTTAAGACCTCCTTAAGAAAGAGTTTCAGCAGTCCATAGCACAAGAACTGTGTGTGATTCATACAACATACAAGTTTCTTTTCAGCTACAGAGAATGAAATCCTCCATTCATAATCTTCCTGTGGTGATCCTTTGAATCCTATTGGTACAACATGACAACCTGCATTGATTATATCTTTTAAAACGTAACTTGGCGGCCATCCCTGACTCTGAGATCTCTGTGTAAACGAACTTGCAATGTTTGGCCAGATTTTACAAACAAAAGAAGGTGCTATTTCATATTCCATCTCATTAATCTTTTCTTGTGCACACGGTCCATGTTGAATTAAACCTCGCATTAATAAGATAGTGCTTATTCTCCATTTTGAACTTGATATATATAACACATCATTTATTGTTACAACTGATCGACTAACTAGAGAATGGTTTGTTGGAGTCAGAAGCTGTAAAGTGACAAATCCAGGACGCTCCTCAGAACACTCCATCAGAATCAGAGTACACCTGTCTGTGTCGTATTCATCTGCATGATTTAAATCCCATATAACATGATGATTAGTCAGCCAGACCATGAGGTCCATGTCCGATCTTAGCGGCGGACCAAAACCCTCTTTAAGACTTCCACTGGTAATTATTCTTGATTCTCCTATTGTAGTCGTTATAGTATCAGCAATATCAGATATTTCTCGTCTTATGGACACTTGTGTACGCGTGCCTACTAAGCGTGACGTGGCTACGTAAACAACCTCTGATAGTCTGGGTATCTGATCCATTCTGGAAAAAAACAAGTTTATACATGTTGTTCATTTATATTTTTTGCACATTCATAATGTACAATTTACATGAAATAAATCTTACATGAAACACTTACTGCTATTTAAAACGTAAAGAAAAGTATGAATTTAAGCTGACATGAATTCTTAAAAACGCAACATTTTCATCTATGTACGACTTGTTTCATACCAACTAAAGCCGTATTCCGCCATATTTCTTTCAGATACATTGTCTCATTGTAACGATATATACCCCAAAGCGCTCGTTACAGTTGAATTTTCTGGTTTGGGTATCGACTTGTGCACATCTCCGATGGTAAAGCATATGAGAACACATGTGGAGATCAAAACATTTCAAAACCACAATAAACAACACAATAATCATATTTCTGAATAATTATTGATTTGAATCAAAAGAAAAAAATGTAAGTTTCGTGAGAAATTTAGATGCACGTCACGGGCACGCATTTTTACAGAGCACCAATTTATGCAAAATAAACTTGAAATAAAAAGCAGTAAAATCTGCAAACACATTTTGAAATTATATCATTTGAATGGAACAAAACAACCAACGTCTTTGATTTGCAGCCCCTATGCAATTGGTGCATATCAACAACGCCTCGAACGCTGTAAACGTACCCATACCTGGTAATTAGGTTACTGCATCGGTTCGAAGATGTGCACAAGTCAAGTAATATACACCCTGAATTCCATTTATTGAAATATGCATCACAGAAAAGAAATAAACTCCGTAAAAGCTCAATAGTAAACACACTGTCATTACTCCGTACAGACGAGCACGTCGATACACTAGCTTGCTTAGTCCGTGCTGGTCAGATTTTGGTCAGGGAAAATATCACAAGTGGAAAGAGAAGTGATTTGGTATTTGCGCAGCTGAAAGTGGAGGGGGGGGGGTATTTTAACTGCTGTTCATACGCTATAATTGTGAATTGTCTATCTACAGTACATGTATTTCTAATATACATTGTATACAAAGTCATGTATATAGTCTGTAGTTGGTTTGCGTCGCAAAATTCATTTGACAATTATAACTGATTATTTTAGTACTTATCTCAAATCTGAATCAAGTTATTGGATGTTAGTGTAATTATTTACTTTAAATCTTAGAAGCAATTAACCAGAATACATTTATTATGTGTACATAGATCTATATGTTCCTTAACACACAAAGAGGAAATGCCACCCCCTGTTCAGATTGACATTTAGGCATTTGATTTTTAGGCGGGGGGTGCAAAAATTTAACAGAGGAATTAAAAAAGATGAATGAATGAATGACCACAAAATATGTGCATTTGAGGAATATATAAATATTTTATAATTATGTTGTTATAGAGAGTCTATCGAGATTTCAGTCTCCCTGTCTGATAGTCTAGCTGTTTTTAAAAACTTAAATATCTTTTTATATTATAATATAAAAAATAATTTTTGTAGGAGTATTGGGGAGATAATTTTAAAAAGCTAGGGTAGGGAGTCTTGACACTGGTTGAAAATTTTTATTAACTCTTTTGTATATTGAACTACATGTAACTCTCTCTCTCTCCCTCTCTCTCTTTCTCTGTAACCATCAGGGCAATAATATGTATAAGATCCTATGCACTTTGTGCTTTACCATTTATTAAGCCTTAGAACAGATCAAGGATTTTTTTTTCAGGTTGGATGTGAAAACTTCATAAATTGAAAAATAATTTTAAATTGGGCAACAAGTTAACCCAAACGGCCGAATTGAAAGAGAAACAAGGGGTATTGTGAGCAATGAGCTCACTAAATGATACACCGTCTCCCAAATGGTTATATAACATGTTTGAATAAGTTTTCTTATTATATCACAATTGTAATAAGTTTCGCTATAAACCGTGAAAAATGCTGAATCACACCGGAAACAATTATGTCACCCCCGATCTGGATTATTTGTGAAAATTTCAACGATTTTAATTAAATGATTTAATTTTTTTTTAGTTTTAAAAATGTCATATAACATAATATATACTCGGGCGACTATACCAGAATATTTGCCCCTCGGTGACAGGAAAGCCCTGGAGTGTTATGTCACCCTCTGCGTTCGGCATCGGGTGACATAACATTCCAGCGCTTCCTGTCACCGAGGGGCAATATTCGGGTGCGTATCATTACCGCTACATTTTCAAAAATTTCATTACCGCTACATGGTCATTACCGCTAAAAAAAACCTTACGTTACCGCTACATAAAAAGTATACATTACCGCTACATTGCTTCTTTCGTTACCCAATCACTTATACGTGTACAGTACAACCTATAAATGTACATGCATATATGTGCAAGACCTGTTCCTCCTGCTTACCACGGGGAAGTGAAAGTCGGACTTTGAACAGGATGGTTTTTTTTTTAATTAAAATCAACTAATAATTTGTCGAGGTCTGTTTTGCAGCTGCTTTTGCAACTCTTTTCAACGCATTTCCACAATTTTGAGTTTTTTAAAGTCTTATTTTTTTCTAAATATATAAAAAATCACTAACTAAGCCAGTATTCCCTCGATTTGTAACAAACTTCTCAATGGTGGTCATAATGTTCAGATGACGCTAAATGATTAAATTAAGACTGCAGAAATTTTTTTATATATGTACTCATTTTGATTAGATAGTGAGTGAATTCTGTTGATTAGAACTCATGTAAACCGAACTATACCTGGCTAAATCGATATGTAGTGGTTATGAGTTGTTTTTGGCTGATTCAGTATGTAGCGGTAATGAGTTGTTTTTTGCTGGAAAAATGTAGCGGTAATGATCGGTCGAAAATCTGACAAAATGTAGCGGTAATGAGTTGAATTTTTTGGCAATGTAGCGGTAATGTTGACCTCCCAAATATTCTGGTATGTCACCCTCGAAGCTATGTGATATATGTATAAAAATGGCAAAGTCCATATTTTGCTGTTGTCGCTAAACCCAAAATACGTGTCGGATCAAAATGTAAAATAGGAGGTGTACAATGGTAATATGTAATAAACCTAAGATTCTGTGAAAGTTTTTGTAAATTTCAGTAAGTGGTATAAGAGGATTTGCGGATAAGAGATGGGTATCCCAAAGCGTAACAGACAGACGGACAGACATAACTATCACTATATACCCTCCCAATTTTCAAGCGGGGGATATAATAAACGTGAAATGTACATCACAGGAATGGGTACATTGGGAACTTTCTCAAATACCTTCTCAAACGCATTGGCGTCGGAAGCAAATGGAAAGTAGGGGGGGGGGCTAAGTGCAAAGAATTTTTTTATACATTCAAAAAATCTGACAAGCTTAAAAAAATGGAAAATGTCCTTTTCCAAAACATGAATATATATTTCGTGTGAGGGAAGGGGGGGGTGAGGTAGGTTCGAACTAGCTGCAGATATTAGCTATCCGAAAAAATATATATATTGATAGACCGGATATCCGGTCTATCAATATATATTTTTTCGGATAGCTACAGATCTGCAGCTAGGTTTGCAACCTTCAGTAACAAAATTTTTCTCCAAACATCAACACTTTCCTCTTTTTTTAACCTATACCATGTATACTGCGACTTGTCTGTGGAAAGTGGTGGGGGGGGGGGGGAGGCTAAACCTACGCAGCAATGTTCAATGTCTATTCCAAGTATATATTCATAAAAAAGGCACCCCCAGATGTAATGTTTAAGTGCAAACGTTTATGATAAACAGAACCGAACAGTTTGTTTATATTTGCTAATGCTGAACTCTGAATGCTTTAGACATTAATTGCTTTAATCTTTAACTCCATCACCTCACTGGTCAGATGTTTATACTTTCCCAGGATATCATATTAACTCTGCTATTTTGTATCTTTGTTTATCTATGTATGAATTAGTAATAGATTTGCATCCAAAGCGAACTCATGTGTTGTTCTAACTAGCAACATTACATTGGCGACGAGGATATATAATTTTACATAGTGTTTGAGCGGTTATTAATTTTGACTGAGAAATATCAATAATGGCTACTGGATTTCCTCCATTTCCGAAGTTTGATGTCTCAGATCAAAGTTCAATAGGACAGCGTTGGAAAAAATGGATCCAGCGATTTGAAAATTTCGTCCTTGCTATGGGAATTACTAGGAATGATCGCAAAAGGGCAATACTCTTACACTATGGAGGAGACGAAGTTTACAACATCTTTGATACTCTTGCGGACACAGGAGGGCCAAATGACTATGATGCAGCAAAAACAAAACTGACGGAGCATTTCAACCCAAAGAAGAACCTTGAATTCGAAATATACAAATTTAGGCAAGCTAAACAACAATCAAGTGAAATAATGGATTCCTATCACACAAGACTCCGACAATTGGCAGAAAACTGTGAGTTCGAAGATGTCGATAGGGAAATAAAGTCACAAGTTATTCAAGGATGTGAGTCAAGTCGTCTGAGACGCAAAGCGCTGCGTGAACCTGACTTAACGCTCCAACAAATCCTAGATTCAGCGAGAGCTATGGAAGTCTCACAACTCCAAGCCTCCGGTATGGAAGACCATAAGAGTCAAGATGTACATTTAAATGCTGCAAACAGGAAAGTGAATTCGTCTAAACAAAGGAAACAAAGAGAACCAACAAGTAAGTGTCGCAATTGTGGAAAGGAATGGCCACATAAAGATAGACCGTGCCCAGCAAAGGACAAAGCGTGCAACAAATGCAAGAAAATGGACATTTTTCAAAGCAGTGTAGGTCTGGCCAGAAACAAGATACAAGAAATTTCAACCGCACACCCAAATCAAAGAAACCTGGTGTAAACAATTTGGATAATGACAGTAGTGATGAAGAATATGCTTTTGGATTACAACTTAATGCAACAAAATCTTTGCCTATCGCAAATGTCAAAATAAATGGGATTAAAGTTGACATGCTGGTGGATTCCGGAGCAAGTGTTACTGTCATGGATGAGTCGACGTTTGAAAGAGTAAGTCGCAAGAAACCAATTAAATTGTCAAAATCAAATGCTAAAGTTCATGCTTACGGAATGAAAGCGGCGTTACCAATAAGAGGTAAATTTCGAGCTGAAATAGAATCTAAACTCAGGATTATCGACACTGAAATTCTTGTGGTGAAGAGTGCAAGTGGATGTTTACTTAGCTGCAATGACGCACAAAAGCTTGGACTCATTCCGATTACAATAAATGCTGTAGACCAAAATGAAAATACTGACCAACCCAGTATACTAACGAGATTTGCTGATCGATTTGAGGGGATAGGAAAGCTGAAAGACTTTCAAGTGAAACTTCACATTGACGAAACAGTGAAGCCCGTTGCGCAACCACATCGCAGAATTCCGTTTCACCGACGAAAGAAATTAGAACAAGAGCTAAAGAAACTGGAAGAAATGGACATCATAGAAAAAGTTGATGGACCGACTCCGTGGGTGTCACCAATTCTAGTAGCTCCAAAACCTAAAAATCCTGACCAAGTGAGAGTTTGTATTGACATGAGAAGAGCTAACATAGCCATACTCGAGAACGCCATGTCATGCCTACAATCGATGAACTTGTTACTGATTTGAATGGAGCTGCAGATATTCTCAAAACTGGACCTAAACAAAGGCTATCACCAACTTGAGTTAGCACCTTGAATCGAGATATATCACAACATTTTCATCACATGTTGGACTGTTTCGCTACAAAAGGTTGATTTTTGGAGTAAATTCAGCAGCTGAAGTTTTCCGGCAGTCATCCAACAAACCATTGAAGGAATACCTGGAACACGCAATATAAGTGATGATATTATTGTGTATGGCAAGTCCCAGGAGGAACACGACAGTTCGTTACAGTTGCTCTTATCTCGACTGCGGGAACGAAATCTAACGCTCAACAAAGATAAGTGTGAGTTTAACAAAAGAAAGCTTGAATTCTTTGGATTTATTTTCTCTGAAAATGGAATATCGGCTGACCCCAAGAAAGTTGAGGCAATCAAACATGCAGAAAATCCCAAAAATGCATCTGAAATGCGCAGTTTCCTTGGCATGGCTAATTACTGTGCACGATTCATCAAGGACTTCGCCACAATATCACAACCTCTACGTGAACTGACCAAAAAGAATCAACGATGGACATGGGAAAAGAAACATGAACAGGCGATACAGAATATCAAGGACGCATTGACCAGTAGTGCAGTTATGTCCTATTTTGTCCCTTCAAAGCGCACAGAAGTCATTGTCGACGCAAGTCCCGTCGGACTAGGAGCTATCCTTACTCAAATTGATGGAAATGGCAACCGGAAAGTTATTTCCTATGGAAGTAAAACGCTTTCTCCGAGTGGAACAACAGATATTCTCAGACGGAACGTGAAGGCCTCGCAATTGTCTGGAGTTGCGAACATTTTCACCTTTATCTTCTCGGAAACACATTTGACCTTGTGACAGATCATAAGCCATTGGAATTAATATTTGGAAACCCTGCATCAAAACCACCTGCCAGAATTGAGAGATGGGCATTGAGACTACAGCCGTATGATTTCCACATAAAGTACAAACCTGGAAAGTTCAACCTAAGTGACTATATCTCACGTCACCCAATTCGTCAAGAAAATGACAAATCATTCTCTGTTGAAAATTGCATCAATTTTGTAGTCCAGACAAACATCCCGAAATCAATGACTCTGGATGAAATTCAGAAGGCTTCTGACAAAGATGTACTGATACGAGATATTCGAGATGCAGTGAGGAGTGGATCATGGGTTGTTTTCAAGAAATCAACAAGACCAGACTGGCAATCTGTATATAAACTGAAGGATGAATTGACTGTTTCGCATACCGGGATAGTTCTCCGAAAGGACAAACTGTTTGTTCCACACTCACTCAGAAAACACGTTATAAGTTTAGCACACGAAGGACATCAAGGTATCGTAAAAACGAAGTCGTTGCTAAGGGAAAAAGTTTGGTTTCCGGGCATTGATAAACAAGTTGAGTCGACACTAAAGAACTGTTTACCTTGCCAAGTTACGACAGAAACAAAACATCTCGAGCCGTTGAAGATGTCACCTTTACCAAGTGGACCCTGGACGGAATTGTCAATGGATTTTTGTGGACCATTTCCCTCGGGAGATTATCTCATGGTAGTTATGGATGAGTACTCCAGATACCCGATTGTGGATTTTCTTAAGTCTACGTCAGCAAAAGCTGTTATTCCTAAGTTAGACAAAATATTTGCGGAATTTGGAATACCAAAAGTTCTGAAAACTGACAACGGACCTCTGTTTTAATGGAACAGAATTTCGCCAGTATTCGGAATACTTAGGATTTTCTCACAGAAAGATTACTCCTCTATGGCCTAAAGCAAATGCAGAATCCGAAAGATTCATGAGAACAATTGAGAAAACAATCAAAGCAGCTAATATGGAAAATAAAAGTTGGAAACAAGAAATTTTTACATTTCTAAGGAACTACAGGGCTACACCATATTGTACCACAAAAATATCGCCATTTGAAGCTCTATTCAGCCGGAAAATCAGGACCAAGATGGATGTAGACGTTCTTAACGAAAACAAAGGAGGGAAATACGAAATCCACACGGAAATGAAAGAAAATGACATTAAAGCTAAATTAAAAATGAAACAACATGCTGATCACTATTCTCGGGCAAAGGAAATAGATTTAGAAGTAGGAGACAACGTTTTGGTAAAACAACCAAAATCAAATAAACTGTCAACCCCGTATGAACCAAAACCACTTGAAATTTTAAAGACTAAGGGTACCATGGTCACCGCCGGGAATGATGAAAAGACAATTACAAGAAACGCGTCGCACTTCAAAAAGTTGGAAGATAAAGCAGATCAGGATGAGGAACTCGAAGTTGACGAAATACCCGTGAAACAGATAACTCCACGAGTGAGTTATCGAGCCGTCCTAAGAGAGAAATCCGCACACCTAAGAGACTTATTGAAGAAATGTAGACTATAACTAGAAACGAAACTCGTTGCGAGCAACGAGAGGTCTTCCGTCCGATTCAGAAAAAACCCTGTAAAATCAAACTGAATAAGTGATTTTAAAAATCGGACACACGGTGGATCGAACCCAGTTCGCCAGCGTGAAAATCCATTGCGGTACCCATTACACCTTATGGAACCCGCTTCAAATTTAACATTCGAATATCACGAGACTGCTTTTTTTATTCTAATATACATTACATTTTTTATTAAAAATTCAGTTTGCAATTGTAAAATGACAGCCAGCTTGCTAAACTTTGCTCAAGATGATCACATCGAAATTTGTAACTTGAGTTTTAACAGTAATTTTTAGGATAGGTAATTATAATCTATTAGTAATCAACAGATGATACTGTTTTCTTTCCTTTCTTTGATATGTATTTAACTTTTTATCCCATGCAACTCCATATACAAGCATGCCAATTTTATATATTTCTGCACTATTGTCACAATTTGTCTACTACTTAAGTCGGGTCACGATACATTATTTCGTGCCAAACGTCAAAAGTAGTTCTTAACGCTATCCTTTGAAATGTTTGATCTATATGATGGATTTGATAGCTTCAATGAAATTTAGAATGTATGTTCTTATAACCTGAATTTGAGTCAAGTAATACTTCAGAAACATATAGTGAATATTAGGTCAGGCAAGTTTCTTGAAAAGCTATTACTTATAACCATGGTTTAGGATAAGTTTTCCCTGGTGCAAAACAAAAGATTGTTGTCATCGTATTTCCACTTGTAGTCATGTTGTATTCTACTTTGAGATGCAGACAAAAGCAATTTCAATAGACGTTTGAGGAAACCTCATATTAAAACTATACTCAATGTAACGTAATTGCGATGGCAATCTAAAGAATCCTTTACATTTCATAAATCTTTTTGGTAGAAGTTTCATTCATCTAAACGCTCAGCTGACCCTTTAGAACCCGACTTGCTTAATGGCGGAGTTCACGGAGATGCCCCGCCATCTTGAACACGCTTCAGATTTTTAAATGCGAATATCTAGTGTGTGGATTGATCAATTCTTAAATAAATTGTATATTAGGCCTTTCCAGTAGGGTCTTAATTACCATTAATTATTTCAAAGAAAAATATTGAAAAACAAAAAAAGTTGAAAAAGTGCACATTTAAAATTCACTTCCTGTAGCGACCGGAAGTACTGACGACGCAAACGAAGGCAAAATTGCACATCTATAACTCATGGTCTATCATCTCTAACAAGTCTCCAATTAAGAGCAATTCTCTGTAATCACCAAAAAATTTTGGCACGCATAGTTACAGATTTAAATTTTTATATAATAATTTAATACAGGTGTGTGAGTGATTGTAAAATCTAAAAATAGTTTTTGAATTGTAACCTTGGTTGCCATAGAAACGGGATACAAACTTTCTGATTTTTGTAAATCATGAAAATCTGTACTTTTCATGAAAAACCATGTCTAGAAATGAACAGAGATATCTAAATTTGTATTTATTGTTGTTATCCAATACTAGAGATTCAATCAACAATGTTTACAGTTTAATTTTAATTTCACACTCATAAGTGGTCATGTTATGCATTGCAAAATGTCAAAAATAGCTAAATTTTGCTCAGTTTTTACGGACATAAAACAAAAAAATGCAGCCATCTACAAATTAAGCAATAATAAAACATGAAAGGTTGATATTTGGTTATATTTCAACAATTAAAAAATTGGTGGGCAAATGATAAGTGTAAAAGAAATTCAAAGGTGAATATCCATTTTTTCTGCATTTTGAAGCATTTTTTGCTTCCCAATTACTTCCCTTGGATTACTCTCTAGTGTTTGGAGGTACAATATGTAGCAACTTGTAGTGGTAAACAAATAATTTGGTGAGAAAACTTATCAAAGCGGGTCCGGGATGAGGATTGGCAGTGTGGAAGAAGGAAAAAAGGCCAGGATATAATACATAAGAAGACAAGAGGTATTTATAAATATTACAAATGCTAAGTATGTATATTTTTTTCTCTATTTTATTGGCTTGCATGCATGTAACCCGAGATTCCTCTGCTATGAAAATTGTGACACCTGAAGGGACCTCTGTCCTGACTCTCCCCGGTACATTTACATACATAATTACTTAAAATACATGTTGATGGCAGACCATGAAGACATGAATCAGGTCAGACACAATCTCTTTATATAACCAGGACCAGTACAATCGATTGATTATGCTAGGTAGATAGCTGTAGGCCTATATTTTCAAAGCACCATTTAAGTCACTTGCGTAGTGCAGTGTTTAGAGCGTCTGCTCTAGAATTGCAAAGTAAGGTGTTTATGCTTAGATCGCAGGTCCATATCCCACTGCGGGACGTGGAGACCATGCAACCCTTCGGATGCTATCATATAAACTGAGGTCCCGTGTGGCAGTAGCCAGTAGGCACTAGAACAAATAAATCCCTTGTCGTGAGTGACAAGTATAGGACAAAATTTGTATCTCTCCAACGGCAAGTGGTGGGTCTCTCATATTTGTACTAAAAAATTCTGAAGACTAAGAGACATTATACAATCAATGTAATTTCCTTAACATTAAATGAAAGTTTCCCTTTCAGAAAAGAAAAAAAACAGGTGTATAAAAATATCTGAAGATGAACAAGCAAATTCAAAGAATTGTGGTCCCCCACTTTCAGTATCTTTGTGGGTTAGATATTATTTTTATGACATATTGTCTGTAATATGAACATATACCGGTACTATCATATGTCATTTATTTAGAAAGTAACATTGAAGTTGATTTTTGTTTAAGGATGAAAACCCTAATCCTGACTGTTAAAAAGTTATGGCCAAAGTAAAAAGTTTTTTCAAAGTAGGTCAACTCCAAGGTCAAGATCAAAGGGTCAAAGTTGTTGAGATACAATGAAAGGTTTTCTCACAAGGATTACATATATGAAGTATGAAAGCCCTAGCTTTTACTCTTCAAAAGTTATGGTCAAGGTTAATTTTTTTTGGTAAGTACGTAAATCTTTAAGGTCAAGGTCAAAAGGTCAAAATTGTTGATATCCAATGAAATGACTTGCCACAAAGAATACATATGTGAAAAATAAAAGTCCTAGTATCTACCGTGCAAAAGTTGTGAACAAAGTTATAGTTTATAAAAAAAGTAGTTAAAGCTCCAATGTCAAGGTCAAAGGGTAAAAGTTGTTGGTATCCAATAAAAAAGAATTACATATGTGAAGTATGAAAGACCTCCAGCCTCACCGTTCAAAAGGTATGATCAAGGTTAAAGTTTTTTCATTAGTACGTAAACCTCCAAGGTCAAGGTCAAAAAGGTCAAGGTTGTTGTTATTCAATGAAAGGTCTTTCCACAAACAATACATATGTGAAATATGAATGGCCTAGTATTTACTATTCAAAAGTTATGTCCAAAGTAAAAGTTTGGAATTTTTGTGTAAAAGTGAGTCAAACTCCAAGGTCAAGGTCAAAAGGTCAAATTTGGTGGTACCCAAAGAAAGGTCTTGTCACAAAGAATACTCCTGTGAAATATGAAAGTTATAGCTCTACTAAATCAAAATTTATGGGCAAGGTTCAAGTTTTTGTGATGGACAGACAGACGGATAGCTAGACAGACTGACGGACAGACAAATCAGATCTAATGTCCCCTCGCTTTTGCCAAAGCGGGGACAAAAATCATGGTATGATGAAATTTTTGTGTATAACAGTAAATTCTTATACATTACAGCCATATTATATGATACACATACTCCTATATATAAAACTAAAAGTACCCGGTAAATAGTTCTGTCAATAGAGAGGTTAAGCATTTTACCGTGTACATCTACCTCTACATGTAAATCTAGCAGTGATTTTACATCTTGTTCTGTTTAACAATCTGCACATGTACCGGTATTTGTAAAACATCATTTCAGCACGACACTTTTCAATCCAATTGTATCAAATAAATCTATGACTTGAAATAAAAAAAGATACATTGGATGTACGTAATAAATACTCAAATTCATACCAAACACAAGCTGAAAAATAAATATTCTGTAGTTTGAGTTCAAGAAGCTACAAGTTCTCACCTATGTGTACTTGTAGTCTATACATTGTGTACAACTTGTAGAATTACATGATATGCAAAACTGATGACTTAAATTGCATAAAAAATATGGGATTTCCGTCGGGACACGTACATGGTCATATCTGCTTAACCTCTCTTTTTTATAATGCTTGACCTGTACATAATTTTGTAAGGATAATATGACTTTTGATCATGTTGACAAAAAATAATTAATATATGGATTGATTTTTAGC